GGAATTGCTGGGTCAAATGGTATCTCTATTTGCAACTTTTTGAGAAAGCGTGGCAAAAAGATTTTGAATGGTCTGTTAAGACTTTATCATCAGAGTGTGGAAAATTACTGAAAAGCTGCATTTTAGGAGACTTATTAATCATCCTATGGAAGAAAAAATACAACACAGATAAAAATTTTTAAGAGAATTATTTTTTAGATGCTAGAAAAAAAGAAAAGTCATTTTGTCTTTAACAGAATTAAAATTTCTGCAAAGTTGGCGGTGAAAGAGAAAGTGTACTTACCACTAAGTAGAAAAAGTAGTTTGTGATAAATGGAGTAATTATTATAAGGTCTGTCACCTCACTTCAATGTTAATTCTTTTCTCATTGCTAGTGCTCCATACTTTTTCAGTCTATATGCAGAACAGATCGTTCAGGAGGGTAGGCTTTATGAGGAGGAATGTTGCATCAGGATTGGAAGAAGACTCAACAACCTACATTATGCTGAAGATACAACAGTGCTTGCTGAAACTGAGGAATGCTTGCTCCAGAAGGTTGAGGACTTTAGTCTTCAGTATAGATTGAAGCTCATCATGAAGACAAAAGCTCTCACCACTGGGCCAGTTGTCAGCACCATGATAGATGGAGAAGAGATTGAGGTTGTTAACAATTAGAGCTTGCATGGCTCCACAATCAACACTCCTGGCACCAGCAGTCAAGAAATCAAAAGACAAATTGCAGTGGGAAAATCTCCTGTCAGGGACCTTCGAGTACTGAGAAGCAACAATGTCCGTCTGGAGATTAAAGTGTGCCTGATCCAGGCCATGGTTGCTATGCAACAGAGAGATGGACAGTGATTAATGATGACAGAAGAATAATTGATGCATGGGCCACCAAGAAAATGAATAGGTCTGTCTTGGAGAGGGTGAAACCATGTTTCTCCTTGGAGGCTAGGATTTTTTTTTTTTAATTTAGTTTGTTTATTTTTCATTTCGATGAACATCTACAGAGATTTTGGAATTCCATTCATTCATTGTTGCACCCTTCTCCCAGCACAACCCCCCCCCCACCCCTGTTTGCTCCTCTCCTTGAAAAGCAAAAGAAAAACTCCCTCATTGGTACACGATCTCCCCCTGCACCTCCCCAAACCCCACCCCCTACCCCCAAATATAATCCACTCTGCAACCCTCATTGCATACTCCTGCGATAAAAATAATGCCCTAAAATATAATACTTTTAGACTATTCTCTCCCCCATAGACTTCAATGCCTTAAACATATTTCATCGAGTTTTTCTCAGTCTTACCCCCACCCCAATGCCAGCCTCATTCTACAACAGTGGCACCATATAGCATTTGTCCCTTTGTGACTGAGGTACCTCACTCAGCATAATGTCCTCCAGGGTCACCCATTTTGAATAATATTGCATGAGTTCCTTGTTTTTCAATGCAGCATAGTATTCCATTGTGCGAATATACCACAGCTTCTCTACCCATTCATTTGTTGATGGGCATTTAAGGTTGTTTCCAACTCCTTGCTATTGTAAACAAAGCCGCGATAAACATGGGTATACATATATCTACTTGGATGTCATTTATGGTCTCTTTAGGGTATATTCGCAGTAGTGGAATTGCTGGGTCAAATGGTATCTTTATTTGCAACTTTTTGAGAAAGCGCCACAATGCTTTCCACAGTGGTTGCACCATTTTACACTCCCACCAACAGTGAATAAGGGTTCCAGTCTCTCCACAACCTCGCCAGCATTTGTTGCTTGCTGTTCTGTTAAATTTTGCTAGTCTTACTGGACTGAGATGATATCTCATGGTTGTCTTGATTTGCATCTCTCTCAGGGCTAGGAATTTTGAACATTTCTTCATGTGCTTGTTGGCCATCTGAATGTCTTCCTTGGTGAAGTGTCTGTTCATATCCTGTGCCCATTTTTCAATTGGATTATTCTCCTTTATCTTGTTGTGGTGCTCGAGTATTTTATAAATTCTAGATATAAGTCCCTTGTCTGACATGTCATTACCAAAAACTTTTTCCCAGTCTGTGGCTTCCCTTTTTACCCTGTTAGAAAAGTTTCTGGATGCACATAAGGATTTGATTCTTAGAAGGTCCCATTCATCTATTTTATCTTCTCCTGGTTGTAAATTTTTCAGAATACTGAGAAGACTCTTTATGTTGTGGATTAGGACTACTAAAGTTTTTCCAAGCTTTTCTTGAATGAAGTTTACAGTCCTTGGTTTTAGTCCTAGGTCCATGATCCACCTTGAGTTGGTTTTTGTATATGGAGTGAGGTGGGGATCTTGTTTAATTCTTCTGCAGATAGTTTTCCAATTTTGCCAACACCATTTGTTAAAAAGGCTGTCATTTCCCCACCTAACTGATTTCATCTCTTTGTCAAAAATCAATTGCCCATAAGTAGATGGGCTGATTTCCGGGTTCTCAATTCTATTCCATTGATCTATGTGTCTGTCTTTGTACCAGTACCATGCTGTCTTGACTACCACGGCAGTGTAGTAGGATTTTAGGAGGCTAGGATTTTTAAGCTCTGTCTCATATACCTTGGGAATGTGACCAGGAGGAACTAGTCCTTGGAAAAGGACATCATACCCAGAAGGGTGGAGGGATAGCACTGGAGAGAAAGATCCTGGATGAGATGGATTGATACAGTAACTGGGGCAATGTGGGTAGGTGTGTTGGAGTCAATGAGACTGGCTCACGACAGGACAGGCTTCAGAGCTGTTGTACATAGGGTTGCTATGAGTCACAGGTGACTTGATTGCACATACTAACAGCAGTGTTTCTGATTAATGAGCTGTTCTACATCCTTGCTAGAGGCCTGCTATTGTTATTTCAAATGAGAAATTTTGCAAGATTGATCTAAGGCAGCAATTGTTTAAAATTAGAAAAAGAACAGTAAATAAACATATGGGTGATGGAATTGGCAAAAGTGGGGAAAAGAAGGGAGAAAAAGATTGCACCAGACCTTCTTAATGAGTTGACTGGTAGGCTGATTAACAAGAAGAGACGTATTTTTGGTGAGAAGTTAGCTCAGATGTAGGCATGCCTGTACTTGGAGATGTCTCTGGTTCATCTATGTTGTTGTTGTTGTATACCACCGAGTTGGAACCAACCCATAGCAGACCCTCCAACAAGTTTTCAAAAGCAGTTAATGGTATGGGAGAAGATTTCCCATCCTTCTCCCACAGAGAGGCTGGTGAACTTGAACTCCATGCCTTTGGGTTGGCAGCTAAGCCATCAGCGCTCCTAATGGGGAATTTCTCCCCTGTTTTGTAAGGTCACAGCAGTGAAGTTTGTTTTATGGAAATACATAACTTAGAATGTATAGTAGAGGAATAGAAAATGACACAATAACCCAGAAATCAAACTAAACTGCCACCAAGTCAATTCCAATTTATAGTAATCCTGTAAGGACAGAACTCACCATAAGTTTTCAAGTCTGTAAATTATCTTGGAAGCAGAAAGCCTTCTCTTTCTCCTGTGGCGTTACTGGTGGGTTTGAACCACTGACCTTTTGGCTAGCAACCTAGTATCTTAACCCTAGTGCCACCAGAGCTCCTGACACAGTATTAGGGCAGCAGGGTCAAGTTAGCAGTATCCTAATGGGTTGAGACAAAGTGTAAGAAGTGAAGACAGCTTCTATACATGACTGTCATAGAGCTTTTTTGGAAGGGAGTAGAGGTACACTGACAAGTGAGAGCTAAGGGAGCCTTCAGTGAATCTTCAGTGGAATGGTGTTTGGAGAGTGATGGGACAGATGCCCTGGAGAAAATGATAGATTTAAGAATTAGAAATTAATTCTACATGTACTATCTTTTTTACCTCTTACAGCATTTTTAAAATTGGAATGCCTATTCTAACTGACTCACGTAGTCTGAATAGTTTAATTGGCAGCATTTTTTCTTTTGTGATACATAAAAGGATGCTTCCATAACCTCATATATTCACATGGAATGGGGACAGTGGTGGGGAAGAAGTCATTGCTCAAAAGCAAACTGTGTGAATAAATGGTCCACTATGTAGAAGATGATCTAGGTGATCACCTGGGCTAGGGAATTAGAAAAAGCACAGAATAAATTCCCTCAAAATCATTCACTCACTCATTGATGTCAAGCTAGAACCAACTCCTAGCCAACGACAGTAAGTTTTTGAGAGGCTGTGAATTGCATCTTTCTCCCCAGGAGCCACAGGTGGATTTGAACCACTAACTTTCCAGTTAGTAGCTCAATATATCACAGATTTTACCAGAACTTCTTACATGATACTATTAGACCACTAGGCAGTAAATTTGAAAAATTAGACAAAATGCTTAGTTTTCTTAAAAAGTGAAAAATAGCTAAAATTGACACAAATGAATAGAGCAGTTAAATGGTTCATCTTGCATGGTTATATATCTGTTCATAAATTGTTGGTGTTAGTTACTACAGGACTATATATATAATAGAATATACTTTTGTAGCTTTTAATGCTTGTGCTCCTCCTCCCAATGTGTTCCTTCACTTTGATAATATTGTGCAGTCTTACTATTTAATATACATTGCCTTTCCCTGTTCCCAAATTAATACCTGCCGTATTATATTTTTTCTGAAACACTTAGCTTCTATAGATGACTGTTTTATAGAGCTTTTCTTGAAAAAGGAGTAGAGGTACACTGAAAAGTATTCATCATTGAATTATTCCAAAAGGTACTTTTTTTAGACTATATTTTCCTGGTCTTTGAAATTTAGCAATTTTTTAATCCATGAGTGATACTAAACCACCATATTTCATAATGGGGTCATTTGATTGATTTCCACCTAGGCTTGCTTTCTGCTGATAATAATTGAAGTTTTGCAGTTAATTTTTTTTACCTCGCACATCTAATTTTTAATTTAATTTTATCTTTATATAGTAAAATACAGTATTGTTAAAGTATAGTATAGTATCTTTATTTGTGGTATTGCCCTTTTCATTGTATGAGTAACATTAAACATTTTTACGTAGACTTAAGAGCTCTTCGTATTTCCATGTCTTTGAATTATGTTCATACCCTTTGACATGTCTATTTTGAGTCATTGTTTTATATTTGCAGATAAGTTTTTCATTGAGGTGGAAAGTGATTCTTTGCAATGTTCTTTCTGGGTGGTGTTCATCTACAATAACCTAATATTTGTTTCCTGTTTTTGGTTGTGTTTCTTTAGTTTTTATAAAACTATGTTAAAGTTACAGTAGAGCCCAAACTTCTTGTTAACTAAAAATATAAGAATAAATGGAAGACAATTTAGCTTCAGGATAAAACTTTGTTTTTATTATAGTGTGAAGTATTTATGTACTTAAAATCTTAAAGCAATACTGTTTTAACATAGTTCTAGAAAGTATGGATAATAATTGAAATTTTGCAATTAATTTTTCTATATTACACATCTAATTCTTAATTTGATTCAAATGTAGTATTGACAAAATCTGATTTGTAATCTTCTTTCTGCTTGTTCTTATAAATACAGGGTGAGCATGGACAATCATGTGCCAAAATGCTTGTGAATCGAGCACTAGGCCGCTGGAGACAACGTATGCTCCGAGCTGATAATACTAGTGCCATAGTAATCTGCATCTCTCCTGCAGTAGACCTCCAGGGCAGCTTCACTAATGAAGATGAGCTCTATCTGAACCTGACTGATAGTCCCTCCTATAATAGTCAAGAATCCTGTGTGATGACTCCGTCTCCTTGTTCTACACCACCGGTCAAAGTATGTAGATCTTAATACTTTTAAGAATCTAATAATTTTTTTAATCTGTAATTTTTTAAATTTTATCCTTTAATAATCACAATTTCTTTAGTTAATGTTGCCTAAAGGCACTTTTGAGATTGTGTAATAGGACTTGCTAACTAGGTTCAATAAAATAATGGGTTTTTTCCTAAGTAATGTGAGAGCCTTCTTCACACCAGTACTATTCTTAGTGCCAGCTGTATGCGTTACATTGAATAGAAAGGTGATTTAGATGTGGTCTCAGAAAAATATTGTTTAGAATTCATTGATCTTCTTTCAGGATTATGAATGTTGTAAAGCATTAAAAAAATGTATCAAGCACTTTGATATATTTCACTTGCACCTTATAATCTGGAGAGGTAAATTGTGCAGTGTGTGATTCAAATTCAAAACTTCATTGTATAGAGTTAGAATCAACTTAAAGCAGACCCTTGATTGGGTTTCTGAGACTAAATTACAAGAGAGGGTTGACTGTTTTTCTCCTGAGGAGCCAGTGGTGGATTCGAATGCCTGTGGTGTAGCCTTTGGGTTAGCAGTGCAGCTCCCTAGAGACTAGGCCACTTCAGGACCCTTAGTGTGTGATTAGTTGTATAATAGTAGATTTTAGGGTAGATGGAGGGTGAAAATTATCTCTGAAGTAGTGAACTCAAAAATATCTTGAGCTTTTCCTTCCCTTATGCCTCTGAGATCACAGGTTGCACACATGAGGCTTGCCTGTCACCTGTTACCTACTGGCTGCCCTTGGAGACAATGCCTCCCCCAACACAAAGGACATGAGGAAGATTCTGTACAGTGTTGGCATTGAGGCCAATGACAGTTGAGTGGGAAGAACACTGAAGTTGTCATTGCCCAGGCAGAGAAGAGGAGAAGGGAGAGTCTGAGGTGTCACATGATGAATTGGGATTCAGCTTGTTAGAGTAAGGCTGCCTTCCCTGCAAATAAAGCCTTTTTATGTATCTTTTAAAAAAAGAAACCACCAAAAAAACAACAAATGACTATCTTGAAGAATTTTGTTTTAGTTAATTGAACATGTAATTAAAAAATAGTTTTAATCTTGTTGCTGATAGTATTATCTGCATAATTTTTTTTAAATTTACAAAGTATGTATTTATAGGGGATGGCTACAGTGCTATCCCAAAGGTACATGGTTAGAGTCCACCAGCTGCTCCATGGGAGAAGGATGGTCAGTCTCCTCCTGTGCAATTAAACTGCCTCTGAAAAACCTCTGGACAACTCGATGGTACACAATAACAACAATCTCTAAGGACCCCTGGTGGTTTAATGGTTAATTGCTCAGCAGCTGACTGAAAAGCCCTGGCAGTTTGAACCTACTCACCTGCTCTGGCTCAGCAGGAAAAAATCCTGGTAATCTGCTCCTGTAAACATTACAGTCCACAAAACCCTATAGGGTGGTTCTACTCTGTCACAGGGAGTTGAAATTGACTCAGTGGCACAAGAATCTTTCTACATCACATAAATATTATGAACATGGAAAATGGCTAATAGTACAAATAATTAGTTCGGGTAAGTCTAAAAAAAAAACAGTTGCCTGTGCTAACAGATGCAGTGTATTTCCAGAGAATGCCAATAAAAATGAAGGGAAAGTTCAAAGATGAAGTGAAGTGGGGAGAGAAGTCAGTGCACCTGTAGTGTCAGAATAATAATTAGTGAATTTTTAAAAAAATCAAAACCACAACAAAAATTAAATTATATTAATTCTGAAAGTGTTCCACTGTTAATTTTGTAGCGATTTCATCCAATTTTGTTGGGCATGTTAAGGCAGTATGGTTTGTTCTTATAAATTAAAAGTAACTTTTGCTTGTGCCTAAATTAGTTATATGTCATTTATCTGCTTCTTAGTCACGCTGCAGTTTCTTTTTCTATATTAATGTATCATTAACTCTTGGTCATAGTTATGTCTGGATAATCCTTTACTCAGCATTTCTATGATGAAGTTAGGCATTTGAATCAACCTAAGAATAAAGGCAGTTAGGGACTTCTCCAAATTATTGAGAAGTAATAATGTCAGTTTGAGGACTAAGATGCCTCTGATTCAGGCCATGGTCTCTCTGATTATTTGCTATTCATCTGAGAGCTGGATAATGAATTAGGGTGGCAGAAAAAGAATTGAATGCCTTTGAACTGTGGTGTTGGAGAAAAGAACCGAACATCCCACATATGGCCAAGAGAACAAACAGATGTGTCTTGGAGAGGGCTCAGCTGGAGTGTTCCTTGAAGTCAGAAGTGATGAGACTTTGCCTCACATACTTGGGGCATGCTACTAGAAGAGGCTATTCCTTGTAGAAGGACATGATGCTGGGAAGGGTGGAGGGTCGGCAGAGTAGAGGAAGACCCTCAACTAGGTGGATTGACATTGTGATTGCTGCAGTGCGCTCTGTGTGTCAGGAAGTATGAGGATGGCACAAGATAGAACAGAGTTCACGTCTTTTGTTCATTGGGTCTCTATGAGTCATACTTGACTCAACAGCACTTATCAACAAGAAGAATAAAGGGATGAACACATATACAATTCTTTATTCTTTTACTTGGATTTATTGTGAGTTGAGTGAAAGTTTATAATGGCAGTTGATTCTCATTTAACCATTCAAACCTTATGTTTTATTACAGTCAAACCTTCCGTTTTATGACATTGATTGATTATTATTGTTGATTGCCTTTGAGTTGAGCAGAACTCATAGTGATTCTATGAACAAAAGGCTTGAAGTCCCTCTACAGTTATCGACATTTTTCAAAATTCATAGAGTTGCCGGAAGCCCGTTGTTTAGGAAGTGGATGCCCCTTCTTGCAATCGACACGTTATTAAAAGCATTCTTTCTAATTCCTTCCTGTGGTTTTCAGTTTTATTAATCCTTCTGCTCAATCCCTTGGTACATTATGAGCTTTATTATTGGATTGCAGTATTTTAAATTCTTGAAAAATGCTGCAGTATTTTAGATTCTTGATGTCTTTTCATTTCAGTTTTAGGTAAATAAAGAAACAGTCTTCTAAGTACACTTTAATATAGCAATTTTAGAAGAGGGTTGATTCTTACAGAAATTACTTGACCTTTTTAGAATATATGGGTATTTTAATTAATTTGATAAATAAGTATCTTGTTGAAGGAAATGTTACACGATTAGGATACAGGTTTTTTTAAACTTTTAAGACTGATTTTGTAAAAAAATAGTCCTTTGGAAGATTTGAGTTTGGTAAGAGGAATGTTCTTTTTTTGGCTGGAGAGAGGAGGCTGTTCTAAGTATGTGTAGATCTAGAGTAGCACATCTCGATTTCTTTTTTTATACAAATACCTGAAAGTTTACCACATAATGTTTCATTTCTGTCTTCAATTGACAGTTATACCGCTAAGAGAGTCCAATAAGCCCCATTCACCAGTTTTCTTAAATCACAGATTCTTACCCATTGTTTGGCAGCTATACGCAAAACAATGTTGTTATGTGCCGTCGAGTCGCATGTGACTCATAGCGATCCTATGTACAACAGCCCTAAACTCCACTCTGTCCTGTGCCAATCGCACTGTCTGTGACACTCCCATCCCAATTATCCCAGTCACTGAATCAATCCACCTTATAGAGGGCCCGCTGTCCCTCCACCCTCCCATGATGTCCTTCTCCAAGAACCGGTCTCTCCTCAAAACATGTCCAAAGTATATACATTGAAATTTCCTTTGTGACAAAATTGCTTTAATATTGGACTTCACGATTTCCATACTTCTAAATACTCAGAAGGGAACTTGGTGTAGTCTATAGGAATTGCACTGCTAATTCAAAGGCTAGACCTTTCTGAAGGTTCAAGTCCACCAGGGGCTCCACAGGAGGAAGATGGACAGTCTTCTGTGTGATTATTTAGAGGCTAGGAAACCTGATGGAAAGTCACTGTAAGTCAGAACGACCTGGATGGCAGTCAGTTTGAATATTTCAAATACTCAGAAATAAAAATGTCAGGAAATTGTCAATAAATAGACAAATGCAAATCGTTATTTGTTACTTAACCTAGTGTAAACCTCTCACCCCTCGTAATAGTTAAATAAATGAATGAATGAATTTATTTCAGAAGGCCATTCTGGCTTTATAATTACATGGTTTTATATTGTTAGGGGGAAACCCCCAAAATATATGTGAATCTGTAAGTCGTGATGTCTTTTAATAGAAACTTGGTCCTTTTCATCCTTTCCTAATTATATTATACTGTGTTTAATTGAAAAGCTCTTTATGCAGGAGGCATTTGAATTACTAGAAAATTAGGGTAGTTTAGTTGCTTCTCAAAGCAATTTTCACAATCCTTATGAACAAATAATGGCTTTTGTACAAAATAACAAGAGCAATTTCAGCTGTATTTTGTTATTGCCATGTGTGAAATAAAAATGTGAACAGTATATGATACTCTTAAGAGTATTGAATATCCCATGGACTGCCAAAAGAATAAACAAATCTGTCTTGAAGGAAGTGCAAGCAGAAAGCTCCTTACAGGCAAGAATGGTGAAGCTTTGTCTCACATACTTTGGGCAGATTGTCAGGAGGGCCTTGTTCTTGGGGGGGGGGGAAACCAGACTGGGTAAGGTGGAGAGGTTCAGCAAAAGAGATGAAGGCCCCAAAGAGATGCAGTGCAGAGATTATGAGGATGGCACAGGATAGGACAAGATTTCAATGTGTTGATCTTAGGGTCAGTATGAGCCTTAGTCTGCTCAATGGTCTACCTAACAGCAACAACAAAATATAATGCTCTTGATCTTCTCCATGTTTGAGTCCATAATGAATGGGCAAGTGCAGTGATAAGAGTAAATGTGTGCCCATAGTTATTTTTGAAATCTTACTCCTTAAAGTATCACCTTTTTTGGCTACTTGGCAATGGATAGAAAATACCTGTGTTCATTGACTTTTAACCTATAAATGAGTTATTAGTCTGAAAACTTCAGTTTTCAGTTACACTGAAAAGCTCAGTGTAACTTACCTTTCCCCGACCCCGTGATTTGAGTAAAAGTTTACAAAGTAATTTTTTTTGGGTTTTTAGTTGTTGTTCTTGACTGCCCCCCACCCCCAAAATACATTGTTTTTTTAAAGAAATCATCCATGCATATTTTGTTCCATAACATCAAATACAGTACGTACACTGTCTGGTTATCCTCTATTCCATATTGTCTTTTCCTTCACCCATTTTAACTGTTACCTTTATATTCTCTTTTCTCAGAACTCTGCCATCAAGCCATGTGTGTAGTTAAGTGTGTTGAACAGACAAGTAAATTCATGAATGAATATCATTCCCTCATTATAATAACTTCATATACGTCCAACTACCATATGCCATAGATTTGAATACTAGGATATAAACTGTTTCTTACTCTGTTTATAATCTTGTTTTTCAGACACTGGAGGAGGATCCCTGGCCTAGGCTGAACACTAAGGACCAGATACCTGTCCTTGTTCGTAGTAATGCCTTCTCAGAAAATTATTTAGAGAACCCACCTGAGGTCACTCGAGGGAGTATTCAGCCTGTAGTCATACCCTCAAAAGATCCAGAGCTACTTGAGGAAAATTGCACTAAAACCCTGACTTTAAGGATACATGATTCTTTGAATAATAGTCTGTCAGTTGGCCTTGTGCCTACTAATTCAACAAATACCATCATGGATCAAAAAAACTTAAAGATATCAATTCCTGGTCAAATGAAAGCTCAAGAAGTTGAAAGAACCCTGCCAGCAAACTTTAAAAGGACATTGGAAGAATCCAATTCGGGCCCTCTTATGAAGAAATACAGACGAAATGGCTTGAGTCGAAGTAATGGTACTCAGCCTGCAAGCCTCCCCACAACCTCACAGCGAAAGAACTCTGTTAAATTTACCATGAGACGCAGACTTAGGGGCCAGAAGAAAATTGGAAATCCCTTACTGCATCAGCACAGGAAAACTGTTTGTGTTTGCTGAAATATATCTGAGAAGTGGTTGTTTATCCCAACCTTAAGATTTGAGTGCTTTTTTTTCTGCCCCACACCCACCCCCCCTTGAATTTGTCATGGAGTTAATGCTGATTCTCGGATTGGTTCATTGCTGCCAAAAGTTGTTAGATGAAATCAGTGGGTTGCAGCCGCGGTGTTTAACAATTGCACTTGGAATTTTATTGGTGGGTCAAAACACTTCTTTAAACTTTCGACATCTTTGTTATCCAGTGTTTGCTTTTTGATTGGAGGTTTTGTTAAAGTAACATCTATTTCATATTTTGGTATGCCTAAGAGTTGTTCTTTGGTTGATTTATATAGTCTGTTGAAGGTGGGGTCTGCTTTTATACTTCCTTATATTTACCACTTTGCTTAAGTTGGGAACATTCTCTGCAGATCGCATCTCATGCTCATCTAACCTTAATGCTTTGAGATATAGAAACTTATCCAATCTGTGCTTATTTATCAAACAGGTTTCACTGTCCAGCAATCTTTTTCTCTTGTTTCCTACCCAGGCAGTAGGAAAGCATGTAAAAATCCATCTTTGATGGAACATTTGATGGTGATACATGGTGTCATCTTGGCAAACATTGCCGCAAGTTTTACTTGTGATATAAAAGTCTTTCCTGTTGGTCAACTGGTCTTATGATCAGACAAATCAAGTAAGGTCTTAGGGATCAAAATGTCCACTCCTCTTGCTGATAAACTATAAAGCTGATTCTCATGGATAATGTGAATAGTATTCACATAGACTCATGTGAAAATCAATGATGAGTGGGGGTGATCTCTGGTCTGACAATGGCAAAGAGAGCACTAAACCATTTCCAAACTTGTTCTAGAGGGTTCTTCTGAGACCTCCTAATGATATAATACACAAGGCTCAAAGCACAAATATTGATGCAATTGCATGAGTCAGTGTCTGCAACTCACCGTGTGGTGTTGCCACTGGTGTTTGGAACTCCTCGATTGATAAGTGGTCTCCTGTATTTGATAGGTCATGTAGTTGTGGAAACACCTTCACAAGTGTGATGAATGTTACTGATACAACGCCTCCCAGAGTCTTTTGAATTGCCTTGGACACGTTTGCTAGTGCAGTCACTACTGCCATTACAGCATGTTCTCATGGAGGCAGTGCAATAGGCTGTATGTTGATGCCAACTAGCTCCAGGGTCAGCCCATCATATCTAATAAGAGTGCTTTTTTGAAATTAATGTAGAAGCTGAACATTTTTAAAGGGAAAGAATAAAAAGAGGACATAGTTTCACTTTTTGGAATTCAACAATTTTATCCTAGCCTTGTACTTGTTTGTATTATAATGTGAATTTTGTAGATGTTAAGGTATAAGTTGATGTAAAATGTGTGTATATTTGTATCCTTTACAGAAATTCAGTCTCTTAACTCTGATACACAGTTAATTGTGACAACAGGGCTAAATGTTTTTAAAAAGTAAATCAAAGACTATTAGATTTTAGAAATATGTTTGAACTTTTTTAAATGCTTATTAAACAATTTGTATAAGCCACTTGTGATGAGATCTAGGCAACTTTTTAAACTAAATTATTAAGCAAACTGAAAAAGTGATGTATTTTCATAGTGACCTGTGTTTCACTTAATGTTTCTTAGAGACTACGGTGTCTTTTAAAAATATTTTTTATTTCTAATTTCGTAACTCAAAATGAAAATTTTCATAGAAACAAAAGTGTTGAGCTATTCTAGATGGATGTTAGTTTCCTTATCCCAATTTAAATACTATGCAGTAGCTCTTCAGTAGAATTTTTCTAAAACATTAATCATTAGATAAACTCACCAGATCCCTGTTTTGTAGTAAAAGGAGGTGAATTTGCCTTTAAAAAAAAAAAGAAAGAAAAGGCTTTCCTAATCATCCAAACATTCAGTGGCATTATTAAGTCTTAAATTAGTCACCCCTTCCTGTGTTTGGCTTAAAATATGTGAAGGTTTTGTTTTTTTTTTTGCTATTTCAATAATGGATGGTGCTGCTAATTCTCAACGTTTCTTAAATTATTTTATATCGTACAGTTTTATTGATTATATGGATATATATATATATATATGTTTGTTCATCTAATAAATCCGTGAACTCTGCCTGATGTAGCTGGATTTTTGTTACTGGTTTAAATGGTATGTATATATTACCTTTCTGATGTACCATGATCATACTTTACATTGTCAACTTAAATTCATATAATGTTCATTTTTACATCCTACAGTTTTGTTTTTATAAAGAATAGATACAGGCTAAACATGCAACAGATAGAATATGGTGGTTAAATCAGTTCTTAATCATTTAAGCATTTTATGAAACATAGCAAATAAAATTACATAAAACTAAATTTTAAAATAAAATTAAATAGATATACTTTAGAAATAAGACTAAAAAGAACTAATAGAAAAACACTAGGAGTTTGTCATTTTGAGATGGGCAACTAAATGCTCTACAAGAAGATTTTGAAAATATTGGAATTTTATTCATTGAGAGATTTACTAGTTTGTACATTCAGCATTTATTTTATTTATACTACCTTAGCAACTGTGCAGTTGGAAGCATATCAGCTTTCTGTTAAGAGAACTGGTTGGTGAGCTAGGTAAAATACTATTTTATGACTCATTTTTAGATAGAGTGTCTTTTTATCTAATATTTCCAAGAAAAAGCAACTGGCTGACATTTTTGTAGTCAATTTATTTTTAAAGGTTTTTTCCTATCTTTAAGACCTGTAATGCTGTCCTACCCACCCCCAAATAGAACATTAATAGATCTGAATATACACTAAAGAAAGGAAAACTCACCTAGCTACTTTTCACTTTTTCTGCCAGTTCTAAGGAAGTTATATATGAAATGAAAATTTTATGTTAATCGAATAATGGGTTATATAATCTTACTAAAAATGAAAGCATTCTTTTCTACATTTTTTATTTATTGCAGTAGGGTCCAATTCCATATAATATAAGTGACTAATTTGAAAACCTTTTCATTTGAGATAGATAAGCAAATGCTAAAAGGAGTTCTTCAGTATCTATTCTTAGAGCTGTGGCTAGTTTACTAAGGAAGTTGCAAATGTTATCTAATCATAGATAATATTTTAATGTTTCTGGTTTTTTGCTGATGTAAAACATGCATCTGTAGTCTAATGTGTGTTGGAAAATTTGTTTAAAATAGTATTGAAAGCCTTCAGCCAACCATCATTTCCTTCTATATTTTGGTGGGTATTTTAGAGATAATCTGTGCATAGAACTATGCATATGTTTATCTCTGAACCTTATTATGTCTTGAAGATTTTTCTATATCAGCCTTGCTGTTCTTTAGAGATATTCTATGCAGTGCAATATGTGATTTCACTATGCCATTACAGAACCAGTCCACATACTGGTTTTTAAAAATATTTTCCAGATCTGATAATTCTTTAGTATCTTGGTGCTTTAAAAATTAGCATGTAAATATTTCTGTGTAACCCCAAAATGTAGAAGTTTAAGATAAACATTTTCTACACAGTTTTGAAGGTTCAGGAATCTGAGTGTGGCCTGGCTGGCTTATAGTCTCTTATGGTTGCAATCATGATACCAGCTGGGGCTACAATTCTTTGAAGGCCTGATAGGCTGGTGGATATATTTCCCACAAACTCATACAGCTATTGGCAGGAGGCTCTTTCTGCATACATCTCTTTCACAGTACTGCTCACAATATGGTAGTTAACTTTCTCAAGCAATACCAAGAGATAAGCAGAAGACATGTCTTTAATAGTCTCAGAAGTATCACACCATTAATTTTTCTATATTTTATTGGCCAAACAGATCAAACTTGATAGAATGTGGAGGCAACTATGTTGTTATGTGCTGTTGAGTTGCCTGTGACTCATAGCGACTCTGTGTACAACAGCCCTAAACCTTGCTCTATCCTGTGCCAATCTCACTGTATCCGACACACCTACCCCATTACCCCAGTCACTGAATCAATCCATCTCATAGAAGGTCTTCATCTCCCATGCTGTCCCTCCACCCTCCTCAAGCATGACGTCCCTCTTCAAGGACTGGCCCCTCCTCGCAACATGTCCAAAGTATGTCAGACGAAGCTTCAGAATCCTTGCCACCAACAAGCAGCCTGGTTTAACCCTCTCTAGGACGAACCTATTTGTTCTCTTAGCAGTCCATGGTATATTCAACACTCTTCTTCAACACCACAGGTAAAAGGCATCAATTCTCTTTCTATCATCCCTAGTCATTGTCCAGTTCTCTGACACATAGTAAGTGATTGCAAAGAGCATGGCCTGTATCAGGCGCACCGTAGCCTCCAGACTAACATTGTTGCTCTTCTGTACTTTGGAAAGGTCTCTAACAGACTTTCCCATTGTAATACGCCTTTTAATTTCCCTAGCTGCTGGTGTCAAGAATGTTGATTGTGGAGCCAAGCAATCTAAAGCTGTTAATAATCTCAATCTATTCACCATCTATCATGATGCTGCCAATTGGTCCAGTGGTGAGAATCTTTGTTTTCTTGATATTGAGCCTCAATCCATATTGAAGGCTGCAGTTCTTGACCTTCTGCAGCAAGCACTTCAGATCCTCCTCAGTTTCAGCAAGCAGGGTTGTGTCATCTGCATAACGCAGATTGTTGATAGATCTTCCACCAATCCTGATGCCACATTTTTTCTCATAAAGCCCAGCCTCGGGAGCTCTGGTGGCCTAGTGGCAAGAAGCTGCAACTACAATCCTAGAGGTGCACGGTTCGAATCCACCAGATGCTCTGCCAGGGAAGGAGGAACAATCTCCTCCTGTACCAGTCAGGTCTGATTTGACGGTACACGCACACAAAAATAAAATAAAATTAAAAACAAACAAACAAAAAGACCTATAAAGCCCAGCCTCCCGATCATCTGTTCTGCATATAGATTGAAAAGATGTGGGGATAGGACACATCCCTGGCATACACCCTTCCCAATTTTGAACCATGCGGTATTTCCTTGCTTTGTTCTGACG